AATGAATTGAAATTTAATCAAAATTCTTGAGTTAGTATGAATGAACAGAAATATCTAAATGCGTAAACAACACTAATAAAAATTAAATTATCCATATCACTGATAAATAGTTGAGTAATAATCATCTGCATTTATCAGTGCATTGATTAGAATTTATTCATTGTGGTTATTAAAATCTAAATATTCTTTACTCTTAGGAATAACCAACTTAAGCATTGATGAAGAACTTCTCCTCGTTGCCAAGACAATCTAAAAATGTCCAAAGTATGTACAGTACATCTTTTGTGTACTGGCTGTTAATTTTCTAAGAAATACAGAAAACAATGTTTAATTTTCTTAGAGGATCTGACCATTAATCACCACATTCTGCAGCACTATTTGGGGTTATATATTGTAATACATATTACAATATATATTACTAAATATAGATTTAGGTATCTCAAGTGAAATTACTTAATTTAATTAAACATGCACTTCTGTGAGTTTTCTGCAAGTCAAAAAACATAACACAAAATGTGAAAAATTACCTACCTTGTTTTGGAAGTATCTCTGGACATTCTTTGGATTGTTTTGCAATACATGAGATGAACTGCAGTAGTTGTTCAATTGCTACCCCCTTCATCTTAAGGAAGTCCTTTATTGTTTTCCCTTTTTTGGATATTTCCTCCACAAGTTTCTTTTGTACAGGGAAACCAAGAAGGGTGTTGGTGTGGTCAAGTAGATGGACCACCTCAAAAAGGTATGACCACTCTAGTAAAACGTTCACACAGCTTTCTTGATTGATTGTAGGGCCCGTGAGATCACATATTCTGTAACCGACGCACACCTGAAATAAGCACAAATGGACGTCATGTTTAGCAATCCGTATGAGGTTACAAGAAATATACCAATTATAACTACTTGCAGTCACAGTTAAGATAATAACCAGCGAAACCAAAATGGATTACCCATCCATTATAAGACAAGCTGCGTTGATCCTGACGGGAGTTTGGGGCGCGAGCCAATTCAAACAGAGCGCATGAGGAAACAAGCAGCCTAACAGGCTAATGTACAAAATAGTAATACTATAACAAATGNTTGACCATATCGCCAAACACAGGATATTAGATCATTCAAAATTTCCCAGTTTACCGACGTGTAGGACGAGGGCTCGGTGCTCGGAGCTGGCCCGACAAAACGTGAAAGACAAGGCCATTCTGTAAGGTGGTGGGATGGCCAGCGGCGGCGAAAATGTGCTCTTAAAGCACTAAAAGTGCGCTCAAAGCAAGCGACTTTAAGCCCCCCCCAGTTCGTGTCAGGAATAGGTGTGCGCATTCCAGCAATGGCAGCAATGATCAAGTATACGTGTAGGACAGCATGACAATAGGGACACCCCCTAATCCATAAGGGTTGTTTTTGTGCTTCTGTTGGTATTTGGTTTTCTTTTAACTAGTACAGCATGAGAGTACACATGAAACCCTTATTCTTATGAATTCTCTCCTTTGCAGTATCAAAGCACTGAAAATTTGTCCCCTGAGATGGCATCGAAAGAGCAAGGGAGTCCTGAGTGCGAGTACGTCTGCAGCGGCTGTGCTGGGATGGTGAACATCATGTTCACCTTCCCAATACAGAAGGTACTATTCCGGCAGCAGCTGTTTGGTGTGAGCATGACTGCGGCCGTCCGGCAGCTGCAGAGGGACGGCATGCGGACCCTGTACCGTGGCCTGCTGCCTCCCCTGCTGCAGAAAACCTCTTCGATGGCCATCATGTTCGGATTTTCTAATGATATGTCTCGGCTGCTGTCGCGACCCGGCAGCACCCTGGGGCTGGTGACCAGCAGCATGGCGGCCGTGTTGGCAGGCACGGTGGAGGCAAGTCTGACCCCCTTTGAGAGGGTCCAGACGCTCCTCTAAGGCTTAGAATGATGTTGCAAAACGACTTACGAACATTTCAAGTTGCG